AAGTAAGAAAGTGGTTATGAATTTTAACCATTAGATTAACAAGTTTTTCATCCTCACCTCTTTCCGTCTTTTCTACCAAGCAAAGCCAGAATGATAAGATGCATTCCATAAATCACAAGCCTATATTCTTGTAAAAGTAGGTTTGCATTAACCAACTTATGTACAGAAAACATTTTCAATTAGTTCTTAACATTTGTTAACAATCATCATAAACCTTGTAGATGTTGTTGGAAATACCTCAGCATACATAATGAGATATCAAATTATGCAAAAAAATCCATGCAATTAATATCAAAAAGGCTTGGACCAAGGATCTTTTCTTTTCTTGTTTTTTTGTTAAAAGCATTAATTACGAGCATCATCCAAGGCTTCTAGTGCAACAATATATAACCTTTAAACATGACAGAAAATAGATTTCAAAATTAGCAAAGCTTGAAACATAACAATCTTCAAAAGAATCATCTCTCTCTCTCTCTCTCTCTTTGCTTAGGAGGTTGGAGTAAGTGAGGGAGCGGGTTAAGGATCTAAAAGAAAAGACACTATTCACAGCTTACCAATCATATTCCAATTGGAAGAATAGTATCTCTTTATCCACAAAACAGACACAATTTTTTTTTTTTTTTGCCAATACACAAATCAATTAATTATCTGCAAACATACCTTAAGCTCTGCACCAGAAGCACCGTTCATCTTCTCTGCAATCTTCTTTAGATCAATCCCCCGCATCAAATTCATTCTTCTGGAATGTATTTTTAAGATGTCTAGACGAGACTGCATACAATTGAATAGACAATATAAGCACCTATGTATATCATCACAACGCATGCCCTCTATGAACAGAAATTCTGGTACAACTGTAGCAGCAAAACACTACCATTATATGATTGCTCTATTTACTGCAGGTTCTTCAAAATACCCAAAAAGGGTTGATCACAATGGCAAAAGAACCGAACAACTGCCTTTCTGAAAATTTTTGCTTTTATAAACAAAGTCTGAAATGACAGAAGAACATTCTACTGGATAGTAGCAGTTCATTACAGTAGCTACAGCATAATAAAAGATTCACATATCAAACAAGCCAGCAATCACCAAATTTGACAATATGAAAATAATTCCTACTTTCTCCACCAGAGAGAGTTACCATAAAATAAGTTTACAATGCACTAATCCAACCTTGATACAAAAACACGATCAATGATGCAATATCAAAAAAATGAATTCATGAGAGTGAAATATTTTCATTTCAAAGCCTATCTTTTTCCTTTAAAAATATAGAGAAACAGGGTGGCAATGAGGGAGTGGCTTTATATGGCCCTAACATGAAAAAAATGAACAGTACTAAAATGCTTGCAGGAACATAACAATAACAACACCAAATGGCATGTACCTCCTCATTAGGATTTGGAAATTCAATCTTCCTGTCAATTCGTCCTGGCCTAAGAAGAGCTTGATCCAAGATATCAATCCGATTTGTGGCCATAAGAACCTGTTCCCCAATACATCAAAGTAGGTAAATAGCAATAAAAATAACTGTATAAAAACTATAAGATGGGCGCCCTCTTTTATTGCATTAGTATTTCTGTGAAGTAATTAATACCTTTATCTTGTTAGATGCTTCAAATCCATCTAGCTGGTTGAGAAGTTCCAACATGGTCCTCTGCACCTCACTGTCACTATTGCCACTTCCAGATTCCATTCGAGCAGATCCAATACTGTCTATCTCATCCATAAATATGATAGATGGAGCATGCTCCCTGGAAAGAGAGATGAGAAAAACAGAGGAAGGAATGACTTCAGTAAAATAAGAAATACAAAGCAAAAATATAACAGCATGGTAGAAAATCTGACATAAGCAGCTCTTCTACTTTGTGTTTCAGAATACAGAAGATCTGGCTATTGGTTAATGAATAATTCCAGATGACAAGTAACTATCAAACATAAAAAGATTATTATCTTCATCACACTCAAAAATAGAAAGGGCTTTGAAATCAAATTTATATATCGGTGATGTTTAGAAAGAGTTTTACCTTGCCATTGTGTATAACATGTTTTACATTGGCATTTGTTGAAGTTAAGGACAACAAGAGAGGAAGAAGAACAAACCTGGCCATAACAAAAAGTTCTCTAACCATTCGAGAGCCCTCTCCAATGTATTTCTGAACTAGTTCAGAACCAGAAACCCTGATAAAAGTACAATCAGTATGATGGGCCACAGCTCTAGCCAATAGAGTTTTCCCAGTACCAGGTGGTCCATACAGCAGGACGCCCTATAAATTATGACAGAGAGCAAGATGTAGTCTTACAATGCAATCATATGGGATTAATAATGGAAAAAATCATCAACAAAAAGTTATGACTTGGTAGCATGATAATACCTTTGGCTGAGCTATTCCAAGACTTTCAAACAATTCGGGATGTTTAATTGGAAGTTCTATGACCTGCAAGTTTTACCACACAGCAGGTTAAAAGAATTAAATCAATCTGCAGCCAAATATTGGGATTAATAATGGAGAACCATAATACATAAAGGAAAAACCAAAAAGTGATAAGCCATAAATTAACAAATTAAGGATGTACAAGAGTATACCTCTTTTATCTCTTTAATTTGTTGGTCAAGACCACCAATCATGTCATACGTAGAATCTGGAACTTTTTCAACTTTCATAAGATTAACCAAGGGATCTACTTTGCTTGGTAAGATCAGATGGAGAACATAGCTGTCATTTCGAAGAGCAACTCTTGTTGATGGGGTAATTTTTGTGATATCAATATTCTTATCAATATCAACAACATATTTTCCTTCTGGATGAACCTGGAGAAGGAATTATAAAATAACAGAAGAGTAAGATTGAAACACACACTCTATACATGACGGCATGGATAGCTGAAAAAGAAAATAATTATCCACAGTTTTAAATAGCTTATATGATACAAAATTTCAGTCAGTAAAAAGATGTTATTCCCATTTGAAAAGTTAAAGGGAGACTAACAACTAACAAGGAATAGAAAGATCACGCACCTTGACTAAAACTTTGTTTTTACCCATAACTTTCACAACCTCACCAACATAGGATCCAGGCTCCTGAAGCAGCTGCAGCTCTTCTCTAAGCATTCTCACTATAGGATATGCAAACATAATAAGAACTGACATAAGAAACAGACTAAAAGATTGAAAGCACCAAAAAAATAAAGATAGCATTCTCTTAAAAAAAATTCTTCTTCCCTAAAAATAAAGGCTCCATACATGGATATGTTTAGAAGCTATCATAAAGAAAGGGCCCCATAACCAATGGACAATATGGTCAGATGTATTAGATGCACCATCCAAGTAAAAATGCAATGACGTTCATATAAACCACATTCCCCCTTCCAATCAAAAGAATGCTAAACACGTAAACAACAAAGTAGATGGCAATAAAAAGAGAAGATTATTACACAGAATAGACAATCACCAACATGGCCATTCCATTTCAAACTACACAGTTTCTAACCATAACAGACAAAGATAATGGATATTTCAATGAACATTTTCTCAACAATATCAAATTACGACTTCTGGCTACACTATTTACTTGCAAAATTTGGTGCCGTCAAACTTCAATCAATATTTTGCATAATCTACGATTAACTTTTAGTTAAGACCTTTCCAGGTGGTGTTGAATTAAAACATATACTAAATTTTCCAATTTACTTACATTGCATCAACGGAAAAGTTCTCTCAGATCTAGAACAAAGCCAACCGAACCTCCCAGCTCAATATAATCCTGTGTTTTACTACTTTTTATCAGCTAATACAACGCAACTCCAAAACTAACCAGCAGGTGTAATCACCACCTTAAGCTCTACAAATTACTAAACCAATAAACTCCCTCTTCTCTTGCTAACCCATTCAACTAGATATCACTATTTTCTCACAGGTCCAAACACCAAGTTAACAACTTCCCCTAAAATTAAAAAAAAAAAAAAAAACACTAATCCCAATCGACAATCTCAATCAACCCATCTAAAAAAGAAAAAGAAATTAAGACAATAAATGGAGGTAAACAAAAAAATATCAGGGTTAAAGGACCTCGAGAATTGAGCTCATTGCGTTGGGCTTCGAGACGGTTGAGATTGTGGCTTTTTTGGCGATGATTGAGTTGGAGCTCGTGGATGTGTTGGAGATAGTATTGCCGGAGGCCTTCCCCTTGCTTGAACCCGCTCTTGGCGGTGCACATCTCTTCCGCCGAAGCCGGCTGCTTCCTCTCGATACCCACCGTGGCCATTGAGTGCTGCTTCTTAGGTTCTTGCTTTTGGATTCGACAATCGCATTCAGGGATTTTGTAGAAGGGGCTTTCTTTAACAACAAGTTCTGATTTGGATTTCAATTAAAATCTAGTTTTTGTTTTGCTTCATTCAAGCCTCCCAGATCTCGGTGAAATTAAAAAAAAAATAAAATAAAAAAGTTCATGGGCTTGTGGCCGTGATGGGTAGATGAGTTGGGCTTTTCTTTTTCTAATAAATACATTCAAATCTAAAAATTAAAAACTTCCAAAAAAATACCTAATTACAACAAATTAAATAAATGACGCCTAATTACTTTTGTTTACTTTAACCAATTTTCTTTTAGAAAACAACTCTTAATCTCCTTATTTTTTCTAGTTTTTTTTTATCAAGCATTCTGATCAAGGATCAAGATCTCAAACAAAAAGTATGCAATGATTGATTTTATTTTATTTTATTTTATTTTTTTCAATGATTTAAGATTTTCCATTTATTTGTTGAGCTTTAAATTACATTTAGAACTCAATTACTCTTTTAGCTTACAAAATCCAACTTCTTAATTACATTTTAAAATTTTGAGATAATATACTAAGAATAATAATGTTGTGGGAAGTTTTTATCGCAAATATGCCATATTACAATTGAAGGATTTAGTAAATAGAATCTCATGAATGAATGAATTTACAAAATTCATAAATAAATTGTAAGAATTAAAACAATAAAAGCATCAAACCTATTCATAATTTTAATCATCTAAATATTTTTATAAGTTATTTTCAAAATAATCAAATTATATAACCTACTGAGAATTTACATAATTGAGGCATGTTCATTAAGTATTACTATTTTTATAACTATAGTATAATTAACAAATGACAATACTATAACTCAATTTATATGAAATTTAAAATTTATACCATATCACAATAATTTTCCCTTCACAATCATAGCTAAAAAGAAAAATAATTATGTTTTTTTTGTTGGATTGGGTTAGGCTTGTAAAACACCTTGTTGGGCTAGCCCAATTTCCTCTTTTAAATTTACTTTTATTAAATGGAAAACAAAAATAGAAAGTAGGAAAAGCAGGCGTGAAGTCAGCCTTGTATATAAGAGAAGATCGATAGCAGGTTTCTCCTTGCGCCTAGCCCCTTAGATTTTCGTTGCTCTGTCCCAAACATTTTCGCATATCATCATCGTCATCATCTTTATTTTGCTCAGAGCCCAGGGTTAGGAGGTGTGGATTAGCGCAAACAAACCCCAAATCCCGCTAATCAGAGCGTCTTCCCCACCTGTATTAAACTACCGCCATTTCTTTTTCCTTTTCATTGACAACTAATCTCTCTGTACATTCTGATCCCAAAAAGAATACCCAGAACAAAGAAAACCCAAGTTGTCTTTTTTTTGTTCTTTGGGTTTGTGTAGATTTTGTTCAGGATTTTGAGTTTGTTTTCTTGTTTTGTTTGGAGATCATAAAAGAAACGGATTTCTTTTTTAGTTTGTGTTTCATTTGTAATTAGCAAAAAGAAATGGACAAGAAAAGGATTGCGGTCCCACTTGTATGCCATGGCCATTCACGTCCCGTCGTGGATCTCTTTTACAGTCCTGTTACTCCAGATGGCTTTTTTCTCATTAGTGCCAGCAAAGGTAATGACTACTTACTTCGTCTAAGATTATCTTTTTTTTTATTGTTTAAAATGCTTTATTATTTCTTATTTATTTATTGTACCTGGAAATGGGTTATTATACAATGAGAGATATGCACTTCTTTGGAGGGATAATTCGATATTGATCTCATCCTCATAAAAATGGGGCTTTACTTGTCTGTTCCAGATTCCAGCCCCATGCTGAGGAATGGAGAAACTGGAGATTGGATAGGAACGTTTGAAGGACACAAGGGCGCAGTGTGGAGTGTTTGCTTGGACACAAATGCTTTATGCGCTGCTTCTGGCTCTGCTGACTTTACTGCGTATGTAATTCATTCTTGATCCCCTTCTCTCGCAATTTGTTGTCGTACTCTAAAAGTTGTTTTAAGTATTTTTGTATGTCATTCTCTTAGTTGTTGTATATGCAGATTGTGTCTTTAATACCAAATCTCTTGCAACACCTCAATAGACTTGTGGAAAATTCTTTATATGTTTACACCATGGAGAGACTCTATGTCACTATAGTGTGTCAATTTGCATCATTCCTTTTCTCGTTCCTGCTCTGTACATATTTCTGTTTACTGTTGCCTTGTTGATTCTCGAAATAATATATACTGTTAGTCAAAAGCGGATGGTATTCTTTCTTAAGGTTTGCTACACTCTAGATAACTGCTCATGCTTCAATCTCCTGCTGCAGTTGTTTGAATTGAGATCTTGTAACTGGGGTGGCATCTGTTGTTTCATGTGCTGTTTCTTGTGGAGTTATTCATCGATAAAAAGTTGACATACCGTCTGAAATGCCTTTTTGTGCAGGAAAGTGTGGGATGCACTAACAGGTGATGTATTGCACTCATTTGAGCACAAGCATATAGTTCGAGCCTGTGCTTTTTCAGAGGTTAAGTTGGTGCTTCGATTCTGTTTAAACTTTCACTTGAGGGAATTAGGGGAGTGTATATATGGTGGAATATGGTAGGAAAATTAAAGAAAGATTTGGTCTTTGAAATGTGTAACAGCTTATATGGGTTCATGTGTTGACAATCTTTTGATAAAAGGATATTTATATAAAGATTGTTGAACAGATTTCTAGGTTATTTTGGCCTTCATTATTAATATTTGAAAAGTAATTTCAATTGCTTCTGCCAATCCCTTATAATTCTTGTGCATGGTAATGCATGTTTCTCTATCCGAGTTAGTAGTGCAACATTTTAGCTTCTCTTGACATTTATTTGCTTTGGTTGCCTTGACAAAGAAATTTTAACTGTGTTTGACTTTTGAATGCGTGGTCAGCTTGTAACGGCTGGTTGTCACGACTATTATAATCTTCTTGTTCATTTTGTTGTCCTTATAAGGAATTTATTACAAGATGCTAACTACCACAACAGGTTCTTGAATCACGTGTTTAGCTTTCTTCCCAATGCTGAGGAAGGAACCTTTATCTTCTCTTCTATTATGGGTATAGGTGGACCTTTTTTCCTCATATGAAGCCATAATGGTTGATACTATCATCTTAGTATGGACAGCCATAAATAGAAAATCCTGAATTGACATAAGTGCAATTTTGTCCAAATATGAAATCACAGGAGCCATGATGAAACTTGGGATTATTGTAAAACTAGTTAGTGCATTGTTCTATGTTATCTGCAAACAGAAATAGTAACAGTTTGTTTTAAAGGTATTTTGCTCATCACCAGTCAAATTCGGTTATGGAATGGTTGGCTTCATTGTACCCTAATTATTTTCTTTTGGCCAAGTACCCCTAACCGTTGGCATGTCTGTTTGTTTTTCTTTGTATTTGTTGGTTATTTATCTCATTCAAGGTTTTCTGATCTGGAAGCAGGATACGCACCTTCTATTGACTGGGGGAGTGGAGAAAGTCCTTCGTATTTATGATTTGAATTGTCCAGATGCACCCCCCAGAGAAGTGGACAAATCTCCTGGTTCAGTCAGAACTGTTGCCTGGATGCATAGTGATCAGACAATATTAAGTTCCTGCACTGATATGGGGGGTGTCAGGTATCCACCTTCCTCCATGTTTTGAGGCACTTTCATGTAATTTCTGTAACATGTGCAGTGCATTGTTCTTTAAAGGGTTAATATCATGAATGACTCCTAAACTATAGTAAAATGTTTAATGTGGTACTTGAACTTTAAAAATCTCTAATGTGGTATCTGAACTATGAATTTGTTAACTAATGTAGTACTCACCCCTAACTTGGCTAGCTTCAAATAATGACACGTGGCGGATAAACAATCTTCAAGTAACACATTAGTTAACAGATTCATAGTTCAAGTACCATATTAGAGATTTTTAAAGTTTAGGTACTACATTGAACATTTCACTATAGTTTAAAGGCCATGCATGACATTAACCCTTCTTTGAAAGCAAGCACTTAGCTTAAATTTTTTGTTTTCTAATTGATATATGTGGGATTGTTGTAAAAACTGTATAGGATCACCTCATTTTTTTTCCCAATTTCTGGCATCATGACACTTATTTGGAGGTTTTGAGATCAAATCCATGGATCCGTGAATTTTAATTGGGCAAGGGTATTAAGTTTTGTAAATTTTCTGCTTGCTTATCCCTGAGGAGGGGATAAAGCAGAAAGGCGCTTGACGGATGAGCAGTTGCAGTTCGGATGCTTGCCTGCTTGTTGATTTAATAACTGCATACTTAATTTAAAGCATTTTTCTATGGTATACATCTCTATGTTGAGTTTCTCTAAAAGGCTGTTGTTAACCTAGTCTAATGCTTGTCTTTTTTTTTTCTTTTTTTTTTTTAATGGCATTATTGTCTCTTCTTTCTTGTTACTGAATTTCTTAGTGACTGTACAGATTATGGGATGTAAGAAGTGGTAAAATAGTTCAAACACTAGAGACCAAGTCATCTGTGACCAGCGCTGAAGTGAGTCAAGATGGTAGATATATAACAACTGCGGATGGATCTACAGTTAAGTTCTGGGATGCAAACCAGTAAGTTCTGACATTTGAGCCTGATGGTCTGATTTTTGTGCTAGACTATCTGCTTTTGTTGATTACTTTATTCTGTGCACGCCTTTACTTCAGCTTTGGGTTGGTAAAGAGCTACAACATGCCATGCACGGTTGAATCAGCTTCATTGGAACCAAAGTATGGAAATAAATTTATTGCTGGAGGAGAAGATATGTGGGTTCGCGTTTTTGATTTCCACACTGGGGATGAGATAGGTATGTTCTCAAACATAAGTTGGACTGAAGTTGATGATGGAATGCTGATTAGTGTGTGAATTTAGTGCTTGAATTCAAGTATGATATGTGATACTACTCTTAAATTCCTTCAATGCAAGAAAATATATGCGGATGTAGTTTGTTCAGTAGGTTTGGTGCTTGAATTCAAATACCATATATAGTCTTGTGTTTTCTATTTCTGTTTGCTTATGGTAACGTGTAATTACTGATTTACATCTGGTTTGCAGCATGCAATAAGGGTCACCATGGTCCTGTACACTGCGTGCGTTTCTCACCAGGAGGGGAATCATATGCCTCAGGATCTGAGGATGGAACCATTAGAATATGGCAGACAGGCCCTTTGATTCATGATGACGTTGAACTGTTTGCAGCCAATGGGTCAGTTGGAAAGGTGAAGGTATCTACAGAAGAGGTTTCACGCAAGATTGAGGGCTTCCATATTGCAGAAGACGGCAAGACCAAAGAAAAAGAAGCAGAGAATGAGTAACAAGGGTGATGATTCCGATCCGACCTGTCTCTGCAGGCATAACCCCCTTAAGCAACGATCGTCATGATAGTTTTTCTTATCAGACATAGATGGACTAGACTGCATTTTTTTTTTGGGTATAATTTCTAGTCTTTGGTACATTTAACATATGTGGACTAGACCAAAATGTATTCTAAATGATATAATGGCATCTTCAATTTTATATTGCGGTCTATGCAAAGGAGTATTATTTGTGGTGGATACTATGATCTCTAAGCAACCGAATGTGCAATGATGCCCATTACAGGTTACTTTTTTTCTTTTGTTTACTAAATGATTAACTTATGTACTATTTTAACCAAATAATCGAATATTGCCCTTTGAAACAAGAATTGAAAGTTTAATGAAATATATATTTTTTACCCGCATATAATTATTGGATAAATATAAATTAATTCTCAAAAATAAATGAAATAAATCAATAAAAAATGTAAAAGGAATTAATAAAATAAGATTTACCAGTTGTCACTATCGTAATTTTATAGAAGCGGTAGGGTTACTTCAGTCAAGGAACCCCAACATAAGTAATCCCTTCTGGTCCGAGGCAGTTTTTCTTGGAACAAAAGTGCTTTCTGTTTCCCATCTCGGAGACCGTAAACTTCGTCTGCCATTGTTTTCCCACTGAAATTCTCTGTTACTTTTCTCTTTGTTATCTGTAATATCTTCGGGTAGTTTTTATTTTTGGAGGGAAAGATGTCTGGGAAGGGAGCGAAAGGTTTGATTATGGGCAAAACCTCGGCTGTCAACAAGGACAAAGACAAGAAAAAACCCATCTCTCGTTCTTCTCGAGCTGGCCTCCAGGTAGATCTTTGCTCTGTTTTGTCCTTTTCCTTCCTTTGTTTTTATCCTATTTTTAATTTTTGTTATTTGGGTTTTTTAGTTTATCCTTTTATTTATTGATTCGATTTAGCATCTAAAAAAAAACTTGCGGGGCTTTATCTGAGTACCTGAAACTCATTATGATTTGATAAAAGATAAGGAGTTGATCTAGCTACAAGATAATTATCATAGGATCTTTTTTAGTGCCGGCTTTTTGGTTTTGGTGTTTAATTTATTAAATACTTGAATGGGAATATATTACTGTGGTTGATGACTCAGTAAATACTTGAATGGGAATTTATTAAATACTTGAATGGGAATAAATTATTAAATACTTGATGACTCAGTTCCCCACTGTTAGTTTCATTTTTCAACCTTCAGATAGCTAATATATCCCTCTCTTTAAATGGAGTCATATAAAGGGTTGATGGCGGCCAAAGCCAAAAATAATATTGATTTTTATTATTTGCCTTTGATATCCAAGATGCTTGGGGTTCGTTAATGGACCTTAGTCCTCTAACCTGTAAGCTAAATCTTGATTTTAGCTTGTCTAACAATTACAATTTACTGTAGTTTAAAATTGGACAGGCTCAAAAGGCTCTGATAACTGGTGTATCTGTAGTGATTGATGGGCACTAGAAAGTTTCATTGTTTTGGGATGTTTTGCCAGGTCCCATAAATCTTCGCATGTCTGAGGATGTTCACTTGTTCCAAGTGGGTCTTATTAAGATATTCTATAGTTGCTTTTGTCTTCAGTGTTTCTCCAATTACGTCTGGCATAAAAAAATTGCATGTGCTCTTACTGTGGTTATTCTTCTTGATCTATTTTGAATCTTTGGGACCTGGAGTGGTGTCTCTTTATGCCAATTGTTCCAGATTACGTACTTTTTCTTTTATGATTGATTAGTATCACTTCTGTTAATTGTTGTTTGTAAGTCACTATTTTGGACGGTAGTAGAGTTTGGAATTTTATATGCTAATTTTTCCTTGGTTCATGAAATTGTTTTGTAATGTGTGAACTGCAGTTCCCAGTGGGTCGGATCCATCGTCTACTAAAGTCAAGGACCACAGCACACGGGAGAGTAGGAGCAACTGCTGCGGTTTATTCTGCTGCTATCCTGGAATATTTGACTGCAGAGGTGTTGGAGTTGGCTGGAAATGCAAGCAAGGATCTTAAGGTGAAACGTATTACTCCCAGACACTTGCAGCTTGCTATCCGTGGTGATGAGGAACTTGATACCCTGATTAAGGGAACCATTGCTGGTGGTGGTGTGATCCCTCATATCCACAAGTCACTCATCAACAAGTCATCCAAGGACTAGACTACAGTGTGTTATTGCTTGTAGAAATTTGCCAATTCTCTATCTGAGCTGCATTTCTTTGCTGTGAGCTTGAGACTTAAAACCATGGGTTTATTAGGTTCTAGTCGATTGTTAGGGCATTGCATTTATGTGTTTAATTAATTTGTTGAAACTTAGGCCTGATCCTCTTTTAGCTGCCGATCTTTTCTTTTCCTTGTCTGATATAATCTGTCGAGATTGGCATTATTTAGCGGATTGACTGACATGGTGGCTGTTGCGTGGTTAACAAATATGACTAGCATAAAGTTTATTGATGAATTCTTATTGGGATATTGCAAATAAAATATCAGGTAATCCGGATGTATTACTGAGTCGCTTTCATGGTACCTGGGTTTTTCAATGCATAATGGTCTGCCAAATGCCTCTTTGATTTTTATGATCAAAATGCTTGTTCCGTGGTCTACTCTAGCAGTTTACAGCTGCCCTGATGAGTCCGAAGGTTGAGGTATATCAAATTAGAATGATTCTCGTTCAAGGCATGTGGAAACTAAGTAAAGGCGCATATGCCAATTTGGAGCTAATTTCTCATACTTCAACAAGTAATTGAGTAAGTGACCACAGTTTACAGTGTTTCCTCAAATATAAAGGTTCATTTCTGGATTTGGCCATCTTGTCTGCAGCTAATCTGGCCAAAAAAGGTGGCACATGACTTAGGAATTTGGGATATATATTAAAGTTCAGAAAGTTTTACAAAAATTGATTTTCTATTTATTTTTTTTTGAAAAATGTTAACAAAATGTAAAATTTTTTATGTTTGGATTACTTGAAAAATGCTTTTTATTATTTATTTTTAAAAAGAAGTGTTTGTTTTCAAAAGTAATATTGAAATATGTTAAAAAAAGTAATATTGACTTAACAATTAAAATATTAAAATAAGTATTAAATTATTAAAAATTATTTAGCATTATGTACAATTAAAATATTCAAATAATAATTATTAAAATATTAGTATTTTAAAATAAGAATATTTTAATATTTTATATAATATTTGTTTTTTCTTTTTATATATATATTTGATATTGATAAGATTTTAATCCTAATAAAAAACTAAAAATCCGGGCTGTCGGACAAAATAAAGTGCATGTATCAGGCATGTCTCAGTCTACAATGCCGTCGATAAGTTAAATTAGTTGTTACAACTTCACCAATTCGAATCTCTGGATCATACGATGAGATCTTGAAACATAGCCAAGCCCTTCATGCAGTGACCTCGGTAAATAAAAAATAAAAAATGCTCTAATATTCCCATAACACCTTCGAATCAATTTGTTACACCATGAATAAATCCCACTGACTCAAGCTACACCCATGAAATAACTTAAAACTAGATAACTGAAGGCAACATGTCTTGCACTGCACCCAATGCTGAAACTACCACTCATCCTGTTATGAAAAATTGCAGCAAGTCATTCTGGAATTTAGATGGAAGAGACCCTCGGAACATCAACGGGGAATTTATGGATCTCATCCATCCATGGGTTTTTCTCCTTTGCAGGATTTACCGTCTTCAAAGCTTTCCACACTGCACTGTTGCATTTGAATCCAGAACCAAATGCTATTTGCCATGTTCTATCTCCCTTCCTAATCCTACCCTTAGCTTCTGAATAAGCCAATTCATACCAAAGTGAACTGCTTGAGGTGTTGCCAAAGCGGTAAAGAGTCATTCTTGATGGCTCCATGTGCCATTCAGACAGCTGCAAGTTCCTCTCCAGTTCATCCAAAACAGCTCTTCCTCCAGCATGAATGCAGAAATGCTCAAAAGCTAGCTTGAAATCCGGAATATATGGCTTGACCTTCATTTTGAGAAGCTTCTTGCCAACCAATGTAGCAAAGAAAAGCAGCTGCTCGGACATTGGAAGAACCAGAGGCCCCAATGTGGTGATGTTAGTCTTTAAAGCATCACCAGCAACTGCCATGAGATCCTTTGACAATGTAACACCAACCTTCCCCACGGAGTCTTCTTCCTGGGTAACACAGGCAAAGCACTTATCATCCGCACCCTTATGAGTGCGAACAGTGTGAACCAATTGGTATTTGGATCTTTTTCTTTCAGAGCGTTTGTTAGAGAGAAGTATTGCTGCCCCTCCCATCCTGAATAAGCAGTTTGAAACAAGTTTCGAGCGATCATTTCCAAAGTACCAGTTCAGGGTGATGTTCTCCATGCTGATAACCAGTGCATAGGAGTTGGGATGGACCTGAAGAAGATTTTTTGCTAGATCTATTGAGATCAAACCTGCACTACAACCCATTCCTCCCAAATTGTAGCTTTGAATATTCCCTCGAAGCTTGTAATGGTTGATAACCATGGCAGACAACGATGGTGTTGGATTAAACAAGCTACAGTTCACAATCAAAACTCCAATATCTTTGGGTTTTACAGAGGTCTTAGCCAAAAGCTCATCAATAGCACCAAACATAACAGCCTCTGCTTCTTTTCTAGCTTCTTGCATCGATGGGTTAGGGGGAATATTGAGAACAGCCTCTGGAAGATATGTTGAATCCCCAAGCCCTGACCTTTCAAGGATCTTACGCTGAAACTGAAGATTCTCCTCTGTGAATGTACCAGTCATTCGCGACTGATCCATGAAGATCCTTTTTGTGCATTTCCGAGATTCATCCGGTTTGTAGCAAGCAAAGTTGACAAGGTAAACAGGGCGAGGGCGTGTTAGAAAGTAGAGGGTTGACAAGAAAACAAGATGAGTTGAGCAGATGATGACAGAAATGAGGTTGTATTGAAGATGTTCCCAAAGATCATAAAGATCCTGGATGGAAAACGTTGAGATCTGCGCAGCAATCACAACTAAAAGAGGGGAAAGGAACAGGTACATTCCATGGGTGATTAGGTAATGGTATCCAAGCTTCACATATTTTAGCTTAACGGATTTCTTAAAATCAGGTAGGTTCCGAGTTGATGATGGGATCAAAGGTTGCTCTGGTTTGGATTCAGCCATCTTTTCCCTATGAAAGATTGAAAATCATTGTATTAGATCAAGTGCAAAAAAGAAAAAAAAAAGTCAGAATAAAGGAAATTTTAAAACCAACAAGGACCAGAGCCAGCAAAACAAAAAGAAGGTAAAAACAAGTAGGCTTTCAAAGGTAAAGTTACACCAGAAACTCCAACATAATGTTTTTTTTTTTAAATACCAGCTTATTGAATTTTATCCCTTTTAAGGGATAAACTTTATGACTATCTAGGCCTTAAAAAGCTTAAAATCCTAAATTCAGAATGATAAATATATGCATTGCCAAAGGAAAATGAAGTTACTCCCTTAACCCATTTCTGTCAACCCCCCTATTTCTTATAAATAGAGAAGCTTTACATCAAATCTAACTAGGATTTTGCAAACCCAGATCAGAGTTTCACATCAGATTCATAAAATTGCGCACAGTTTGTGAGAACTGATAGTGAGGAAGACAAAAACCCAGATCATCATTTGCATAAAAAAAACAAACATTTTCAATAATAGCTAGAGAAAAAACCATACAAAGAAAACCCAGATCACAAGTCACACCGAAACAATATAAAACCAACTATTAATGGAAATAAATCAAGAAACCCAGATAAAAAAAAAAAAAAACTTACTTTGATCCCCAAAAGCTAATGAGAGTCACTTGAATCTGTTCAAGAACGGCCACGGAGACAAAGAAGAATAGAGAGAAATTCTATAAAAAAGAGACTATATAAAAGACGAGGCGCGTAAGTGCGTTAAAAAGAGAGGAGAGATCAACGGATATCAAAAATTTTGAAAGGAATCAAGTATACTAAAATATAAAAGCACAAAATAATCAATTATTAAAAAAAAAAGAAAAACCGTTTCCGCTAAAATAGGGGAAAAAAAGGAACGTGAAGAGAAATGAGAAAATGACGAGGAACCCAAACGAAGAAAAGTGGCGTAATGGACGCGTTTTCTTGAAGAGGCGGCGCCGTCTGGAAACGTTTGACCGTCATTTCTCTCGGGGTACAAGGCCGGAAAAACGTTGTCGTGTTTTAAATCAGACGGCTCCGCTTTGGTTTCAGCCAGCTTGTTGTTTTCTGGCTTACAGCTATTGCTTCTGCCTAGTGTCCTGTCTCTTTTAAAATTGATAATAGATTAAAAAAATTAATATTTTATTTTATTTTATTTTTTACGAGTGGCCGAAGAAAAAAAGGAAGGGATAAAAACAAAATTGAATTCAAAATTATCTTTTTTTTTTAAGGATTGCTTGTGATAATAATTCAATTGTTCAAGTCTTCTAGAAAAACTTTTTTATAAGGAAAGTAGTAAGTACATATTTGAATTGTCAAAAAATTTTTTTATATGAATTTAAATTCTATTATCATTTTATTTTCATGGACTTTTAAAACTTATCTAAATATATTTATTTTTCCTTTTTTGCCACGTTTTTTGAGTAGTTGATATAATTTTCATGCAAAATGTGTTGGAGAAAGAAGAATTGAATGATTGATCATCATATCAAATGGTATGATCTCTCCGTTCTCAATAGCTCAAAACTCAATTTAAATGGGTGCTATTTTATATATCATTTATAAAAATAAGTCATGATATTATAAATGCTTAATTAATTGCTTGTACGATGAATGCTATGTTTTGGATTCACCTTTTTCATTATGCATATATATATATATATATTTTTTTTTTTTTCATGTTCTCACAAATGATGATTAACAATATATTTTTCAGCTTTTATCATTTATTTAAAAAATAAAATATTAAAATGAAAACTAAATCTTATTTTGGATTTAAAATAAATTAAAAAAATTCAATAGAAACAAAAACCTAAATGGGAAAAAATCATTTTTCTAACAATTTTGTATAGTTTACTTAAAAGTATGAGACTAACGATGGGTATTTAATTCATAGGAAACTTATAATTTAATCTTAAACATAAAAAATTTATTCTAACATTTAAACTAAGAATCACATAACAAAACTTCTTTTTTTTTTTTTACCAACACATCATGAAATTTTAATTCTATATGTTTTTAACGAGTGTATTCAACATTTCCCAAAAAAAATTAGTAACATTTTATTTAGATTACCTTTTTTTATGTATTAAAGTAAATATTTTTAAATAATTAAAATTTTAGAATTTAATTTTAAAATAAGAAAATCATATAACTATTTATATGAAAAATTACATTTGAATTTTGTTTTTTTCATTTCTGAATTTTCTTTTTTATATTTTTTGGACAACTTTTGAGGAAGTAAAAATAAATACCAACAAAAAGATGTACTACCAAAAAGACAAATACAAAAGCAAGCATCAAACAGAACATAATTAATTGTGGGATATTAACAGAAGTGGAGGATCATTTATTTAAGATAATTTATGGAATATATATGAAATTAGTATAAAAATATTAAATATGTCAAATGTTTAACACTACTAATGTTAATGGGTTTTTTTTAAACAAATTGGGAGAGAAAATGGAATCAAATAGGATGGATGACTGGCTTTCAATTCAGCAAATCAAATTGATTGAACTGGTTGATGAACAGTTTGAATTTTACAAAAAACAGTGAAAAACTGAGAAAGGTTTTGGCTCCTCATGGAGTAAGCAAACATCCCACGACTTTTTTTGGAAAACCCCATAAATGTTGCAAGTCCATGGCCTTGAGGCTGAGAGTCAAGATCAAGGTGCAGAGAGTTTGAGCTAAAAGTTGGTACATGCTGATCGATGCCAAAGCGGAAACATTTTTTCCTGTTATCAGAAGGGGCAAATTTCATGAAGTCACAGCTCATTTAACACAGCCATGGAGCAAAAATGATGGCACTTTTCATAAGGTTTTGGTCACATGGTTACCAACTGGAACTCACATGGATTTCTTCTCCATCACCTTGAGACATGGCTTGAATATTCATAAGGGTCCATGCCTAGCTGTTGTCGACATGAATGAACGAAAGCATCATGCTTCAGCTCACTAATGCAAACTTAAAAGGCAAGATTTTCATGCATGCAACAATCGCTCAATAGAAATTTTACTGAATTTTGACAGCAATTAATCAGATGAGGAAGTTAGAAGGCCCATTAGGTAATATAGCTTCAGCTTGTAAGTTAATTTACATATTGCAAATCAAAGGCACTGCTGCTGGAGAGTGTATACTGTTTGGTTTGATCTTAACTGTCCTCTGATATTGATTATAGAGAGTGCCCAGGTTTATACAGTTTTCACTTTTGGATAGTTTATTTTGCTACATGTCCAACAATTTAGGAAGGAACAAAATGCTTTTTACATTGCAAGTTTCTCAGCTAACTGAAAAATTCTTTCAGGGAAAGCCTATACTGTTTCCTTAATTTAAACTTACAAGAAAGTGTCATGGTCAATTCAAGATCGGGAAGAATGACATTCTGCAGGGAGCGGTCTTGCTAATCCAAAGTGAACTCCTCAAGCCAAATTAGCACTTCATTTCTCTTCAATGCAATCACCATAGAAAGAATGTAGAGATGGAATCAATAACAAAAACAGGTAACAAAGGACTGCTAAGAATTTGTTAATAAATGATCTGGCATCATATAGATGAACCATCATCATTGCAGTCTCAACAAGTCAGCCGGTAAAGAAAAGTAGCTATTATCTACCCACCATCAACAAGCTAATTCTAGAATCAATAAGAGAACCATCAAATTGCATTAAAAATAAACAAACAGGAAAAAAAAAAAAGCTGTGTACAAAGCATGCATACTGCTCGATCAAGAATATAAAATTTATGGCTAAATTTAGCAGCAATATGGGATTTGACTCCATATGTACCAAAATTCTAATGAAGTACCTCTAGTTTGTTTTTGTCCAAGGAAACAAAATAATCAGACGAAACATGTGAACTTATTTCAATGTCGATATTTCCATATTTTTCAAATTAGTAAAAATGTGTTGCCTCCTGAGCAATCACAGACAGTTATTTGTTCTCAAGTTTGATTCATAATATTCCATTTGACTAGTTGAGGTTGTGTATATATGTGTACAAAATTGTGATATGCAGCTACCAAATTTACCTATTTATCAGTAAAGGCAACAACAGTTATTGTCAAAAGTGAAACAACAAAAGTGAACTGCACAATCCCCTGAAGCACAATCCCTTTTGCATGCTATGAATGAACTCCAAATTTGCAAGTAGAAGAGCACGTACGGGCAAGACAAATGAATTTCAGAATACTTAAGAATCATAATTAAGGAAAATCCAAATCATACCATTGTAAAGCTCCATGTTCGTCCTGGATCATTGTAGCGGGCAAGCAAACAACCCATCCTAGGTTTAAGACCGTCTCTAACAAGACTAGAGCGCAATACTTTCTCTTTCTCACAAACAACATCCTCTGTTGGTTTTCCACTGAACTTCAATGCTGCAGCAATCCCTCCTTCTACCTTTCTCAAGTTAACTGTTTCTTGACTAGGATCTGGCAGACTGTTGAAGTATAAACACACTCTAATTTGCTAAAATAAAGCATGAAAATATTAAAAAATGTTATTGTTGTCTTAATCCAGTTTGGAAATATGTAACTGTTAGTTGATGTTTCAGACCCCAGCAAAACTGATAAGCCTCACCTGCTTATATCTTTCCCCAATGGAAGAACAATTTGGATGGACACCTCAGATAATTCAGGATCAAGTGCCTGGGTGAAGACCGGAGTAGTCATTGGTATCTTCTCTGTTGTAGAATTCTTACCAAAGATATACCTATGTCAATGGAATCCACCAACCTTATCAGTGTGAAGAAAAAAAGGAAAATAAGAATTGAACCCAACATAATGAATTGAATTTTCCATAAGAGTTAAAGCCACTTACCCAGCAACAGCATTAAAGCCAGTTGACCCTGACAGCTTGTCTCCATTTGTTTCTACCACTATGAATGGTGCATATTTCCTTACCTGCATAACAGTGTTACTTACACAATTACGTGACATTCAAACAAATTACATTTTCTCATAAAATTGCAACAGGAAACACTACTTAAAGGAGTTATTCAAGGTAATAAGAATTGCAGTGTATCAAATGCAGTAATTTACTTAAGACAGGAAAAACCCAATAACAAACTGAAGACATTAGATTAGCATGGCAGGACAATGCATAAAATTATACCAATTCCATATTAGTAAAACCCCAATGTTCTCCATCCATTCAGATAAAGGAGGGCACATTACAAACAGAATCCATAAGCACAGTGAGTACTTAATACTAAATCATGGATACAAATTTTCTCTAATGATCCTACTTGATATTTAGTCAAGTTTACCAAATAATTTCCCCCTTCTTTGTTCATATTTTCCGAATCCCAGGCTTTTTTATGACTTTGTTGTTATAAGACCATAAGGGAATGAGCTTATTTACCCAGCTGCTAGCACACTATCAGTGTACAAAACATTTTGTCTTTGCCAGATTAGTACAATGGCTGCCTAGCTGGTATCAGGAAAAGCATATATAGTTCATAGATGCAGAACAAATTTTGTTCCAAATTGGTTTTCTTCTTCTTCTTTTTCTTTTTATTTAAAAAAAAAAAAAGGAAAAACAGAATATAATACAACCTCATAGTTTGCAGTCCTCTTCAGTATCCGATATCTGGGTGTCTCCAAGTCAGGAGTCTTATAAATCCGCAACTGAAAAGTAAAATAACATAAAATAAAACAACATTCCACAAATAATATATGGCAGAACCATAAATTTATGACCATAAAATGCCAATTTGCAGCAAAATATAATTAGAGTCGAACCTGCCTAAACACTTCCCATAAACCTTCCAGCGAAAAATACTCATTATTCTCTATAGAATCCCAAAAGTCCTACAGTACTTATAACAAAATTCACAAAGATTACAATATTTTCTCAAATATAACTTAAATTACCAAATGAAGAATTGTTTTGGAGAAGTAAAGATCTCACCACATGGCTACAAAACTTTCCATTCTTAGGGTTAATGCCCATGACAGAAGTTCCAGTAAAGATCAGTTCAGGTTTCCAAGGCAAAAGCATGAACTTCATCACCATAGTCCACCTTGTTGTTATCTCATAAGGTCCTGTCTATACCCATTCAGCCAGTCAAATAAGCAAATACCCAAACCAAAAAAGTTATCAAACTATCAAAATTTACATTGGAAAAAAGTTTATAGTGAATCGAACCTGCTTGACCCAATGCAATTGAAAGAAAGGTCTAAAGAGGACCTTCAACAAAGAAATGTTAAACAAATAACCACTGATCGAATCATGCTTTGTTATTGGGTCCCTGAACTTGACCTGCTCGTCATATGCCGTCCGATCAATCCCTTGATCATCAAAGAGATGGGGAAGATCATCATACAAGAAACTAACTAGCCCTTCAACATCAACAGTTGGCTTTGGCGGGCTGCTTTGGTCCACTAGGCTTAATTTACGTGCCCACTTGAACTTCTGGTTCGTGGGAATGGCTTCTTTTCTTGTTTTGAATATTGTTACAGGAGGAGAAGGAGAGGTAGAAGGGATGCCGACGGTGGTAACTCGTCGGAAACTGACGAAAGCGGCGGTGACGGGCCTGAGAATTTGAGTTGAAAGGTGAACGGTAGCCATTTCAAGTTGTTTTGAGTTTCCCAGTTCAATAAGCGAGTGTTTTTCCTCCAGTTTACGTGGAGAAACTGTTGTGGCTCTGGTTTGAAGTCGAGGCAAAAGGTTAACGTTAGCCAGGGAAATGATTGGTCGTTGTTGGTTCGGGTTATATAGTTAGGCCAAATTGGACCGAAAATGGGTTTAAAATGCAAGCCTGAGTTCATTTCTACATCCAAATTCCGAGCTGGTCGAAGCATGCAAGTGTTTAAAGTAAGCCCAAAGTTCAAGTTAGGTTTGCAGTCTTGAGTGAGCCATTCGCCAATGGACCCGTCCATTCTTCCTCGTACTACATTTTTGTTTTCTTATGGGCCTAAGACACTTCTGCTGATGTTTGAATTGACCATTTTCAATATTCTTGATTTTAACAAATTTATATCTAACATGCTGTTAATCATGTTTTATTTACTAAATGGGCCGTCAATAAATCTTACATAAATCATATATGTTTTTATTCGAGGCATCTAAACATAATCACAAAATTAATTTAAAATCAAATATTTTATCAACAGATCATACGACTGTAAAAAATTTTTATATAATTATATCATGAAAATAATTATATGTAATAATTGATGATATAAAAATAATGATAAGAGGATGATTTTGCTAATAATATATAGTTTTAATTCACATAAAATGCAAGTACTGAATATAAGTCGAGAACGAAGGCTCGAGTTTTAAGCAAATTATGAAGTCATAATAAAAGCCTGAGCAAGCTAAACTATTTTTAAAAAGTGAGATTTTAGAATTTAAATCAATCACCTTTCAACTTATAATTATATATTTAAAGAAAAATAAAATAAAAGACCACATGATTTGCTCAAATAAAAATCACAAAATAATTAGGTTTTACGGGCAAGAAATTTGGCAAGATTTCGTTCTTGGTTAGAAAAGGACAACTTGCTTGGAAAGATACAACCACAAAAGTAATAAACGACTTTATTATATATTCAAATATAAAATCCTTGAAACTTTCATGTGCACTGCCCAACCTATAACTTTTTCCTGCTTTTCGCTCCACCACTATCCCCACGAATAAAGACCTCAACTCAAGTAGCTTTCACTAAAACCGACAACAGAAGAAAAAAAATGACCAGACAGAATCAATGATCATTGCACATATTCTTCGTATTAATGTAAACTTTAATTTTGCAAAGAAGCCACATAGGATTTTACGTGGCACTTTTTATCACAAGCTTCACACGCTCCAAATTTCTTATGCCACGACCCGCCACGGGAAACGCCTCATGTTTTCTCGCTATATAAACCTCTGTTCTCCCCCAGTTTTTTAATTCCCTTAAGCAAAACCAAAAGCTCCTGATTTCTTCTTTTCCCAAGTCATCACTGCCCCTTAAAGTAAACCTTTTCACATAGCTTCCAATCATGAGTAGCTCAAAGTCTTGTGTCATCATGCATGATGGTGACAAAAATAATATTAAAAGGTTTGGAAGCAGCTCAAACATGAGCATGATCATGCACGATGATGAAGATAAAGTTCATTGTCATGGATATGTTTCTAACTCAAAGTCATTGGCCAAAGGAGATAACAGCCATGATCATGCTCCATCTGCATCGGCAGATGGTGACGGAGATGATGATGACGATGATGGTGGTTACGATTTTGCTCCGGCAGCTTAATTTTAACTGATTATCAATATCTTATCAAAACCCTAGTTATAGTTTTACAATGCTCTAAAACCCTAGCTAGTTAGTTCGTCCTAGTGTAGTAATTTTGTTTGCACGATTTTCTGTGGTGTGTTTTTACCCTTTTTTTTTTTTTTGGGGGGGGGGGGGGGGGGTAAGTACTATAATTGAGGTCACTGTAGTTTTGCTTGGTCCTACTTGTTAGGAAAATGGGGTCCAGTCCCATGTAAGTGGTTTTGGACCAAGTAAAGGCCATGGGCCTTGATCTTTTATTTTACACAGAGCCCTAGCTACTTAATAAAAAAGAGGTGGGGTTGTTTAAGGTGTGTGTCGAAAACCAAGCAGAGAAAGAAGAAAAGCCAGGAAAAGCAGAGAGAGAAAAAGGAGAAGGGAGAGTTGGTTGAACGGAAGTCGATCCGTGGTCCGATTGAGTTGGAACCTTGTCAGGAGGTTTATGATTCAGAGTTTTATATTCTGAACGGTGAAGATCGGGTTTGAAGCTCTCTAGGAACAAATCCAGGGTGTATTTGTTGAGTCACTTATTTGGTGAGATTTCTCCAATTGTTTCTCTAGTGGTTGATTAGCTCTAGTTTTAGCTAGAGAAGAACTTTGTATAACTATTATTTGATAGTGAAGATTTTTCTGGCGGCCCGTGGTTTTTTTTTCCCTCTACACTGGAGGGTTTTCCACGTAAATCTTGGTGTGCTTTATTTTTCCTGCGTATTTGATTATTGATTGTTGTCTATTGCTTCTGTATTGTTGTGATTATTGCTTCAGGCGCAACAAGTGGTATCAGAGCCAGCCCTAAACCGTTCGATCCACGCCGAGCGCCTCGAGGGAGGTAGGCAGGGTGGCCGGCCTCCGTGACGAGGGCGTCACGAGGTTGGGTGACGAGGGCGTCACGAGGTTGGGTGCGGGAGAATGTCACGGACCTAAGGGGGAGTCCTGAATCCCACATCGAACATAATAGGAAGGTCCCTGGGGTATAAAAGGGTTCACACCATCTCCGCCTTGTGAGGCGCCTTTTGTAGGACAAAACCGTGAGGCCAAGGGGGGCCAGAGCGGACAATACCTCACAAGGGTGTGAACCGTGGCGGAAGGCTGATCTGGGACGCCGGAAGGGTGAATGCCCGGGTCCCGGAGCCGCGCGGGTTCGGAGCTTAAGTCTCGACCCGTGACAAGTGGTATCAGAGCGAGGGTTATTTTGAGACATCGATACAGAAGCATCCCAGGATAGAAGTAAATTCTGTTTGAGATCATGGAGGGTGATACAAGTTCCATGATAAAATTGACAGCATCAAATTATTCAATTTGGAAGCCTATGATGGAGGATCATCTATACTGCAAAGATTTGTATGAGCCAGTATTAGGTGATTCGGCTAAACCAGCAGATATGAAAGATGAAAGCTGGAAGAAGCTAGGTAGAAAGACGCTGGCTACAATCAGAAAATGGGTTGATATCAGCGTGTTCCATCATGTAGCGCAGGAATCGGATGCTCACATTGTTTGGGAAAATTTGGCAGCATTGTATGAGAGAAAAACAGGTATGAATAAAGTTATGCTTGTTAAAAAGATTGCAACTTGTAAGTCTAAACATAAATCTAAGTTTAGAGGTAAAGTGAAGTGTTTCCATTGTGGTAAGGCTGGTCATATAAAACGAAATTGTAGAATCTTGAAGCAAGAGCGAAAAGATGAGAAAGGCAAGAGTTCAGATGATGGCAATGTTGCAGCAGTGAATTCAGATAGTGATTCAGTTACTTTGATTTGTACACATGGTGATTGTAATCATGTTAGTGATCCCGGCATTGAGTGGATAGTTGACACAGGAGCGGCATATCATTGTGTTCCTAAGAGAGAGTTGTTTACAACTTACAAAGCAGGAGACTTTGGTTGTACCAAGATGGGAAACAAGAGTGTGTCGCAGATTGTTGGGATTGGTGATATTGGTGTACAAACTAGTACAGGCTGCATGTTAACTTTGAGGGATGTCAGACACATTCCAGATATGAGAATGAACTTGCTTGCTATTAATGTCCTTGATAAGGAGGGATATGAAAAGCCGACAAAAGAATGGACAGTGGAAGCTTTCTCAAAGGATCTATGGTAGTTGCAAAGGGAAACTATGCTGCACAATGTATAAGACATGGATGCAATTGAACGGTAACCAGGTAAAATACCGTTGAAAATGATGCTTCAGCAAACTTGTGGCACAGGAGGCTGGCACACATGAGTGAAAAAGGTTACAGTTGGCAAGGCACTCTCTCATTCCCTTGACCAAAGGTATGTCTCTCGAATTCATGTGATTATTGTTTGTTTGGTAAGCATCATAGAGTTTCTTTTCGTAAAAGTTCTCAGAGAAAAGAAAATAGATTGGAATTAATTTATTCTGATGTATGTTGGTCCATTGAGTTGAGTCATTAGGTGGTAACAGATATTTTGTTACTTTTATTGATGATGCTTCACGTAAAACTTGGGTGTATATGTTGAAATATAAAAGTCAGGTACTGCAGTATTTTCAAAAATTTCATGCCATGGTTGAAAGGATGACAGGGTTACCCTTGAAGTGTATTCGAACTGATAATGGTGGGGAATACACATCTAAAAGCTTTGAAGAGTATTGCTCAAAGCATGGGATCAGGCATGAGAGGACAGAACCTGGAACACCGCAGCATAATGGTATAGCTGAAAGAATGAATCGCACCATTGTGGAAAAAGTCAGATGTATGTTGAGGATGGCAAAATTACCAAAGCCATTCTGGGGTGAAGCAGTCAACACAGCTTGTTATTTACTTAACAGGTCACCATCAGTTCCTTTAGGCTTTGACATTCCAGAAAGAGTGTGGACAGGAAAAGATGCTTCATACTCTCACTTGAAAATTTTTGGGTGTAAAGCATTCATGCATGTGCCGAAAGAGCAGAGATCAAAGCTTGACAGTAAAGCTACACAGTGTATGTTTGTAGGATATGGTGATGAGGAATTTGGCTACAGGGTATGGGATCCAGTAAAGAGAAAGACAGTCAGAAGCAGAGATGTGGTCTTTCATGAAAAAGAAACCATAGCAGATCTTGAAAAAAAATGAGAAGACTACACGAGTTACTGTTGAGTGTGATGTTTCAACACCGACAGGGATTTCACAGGAAAGAGCCACAGATGGTGAAAATGAGCCAGAAACAGAACTTGGGGATATGGATGAGCCAGCTACAGTTGGTGATGAGCCAGATGCTATTAGTTTTGAGCAGGGGAGCAATCCTCTCTACCTGAGAGTGTTGAGCAGGGGAGCTACCTTCAGCATCAAGTGATGTAGAGTCTCAGCCCAGAAGATCTACTAGAGAGCGCAGGCCATCTACCAGGTATTCAAGTTCAGATTTTATTTTAGTTACCAGTGAAGGGGAGCCAGAAAGCTTTCAAGATGTGCAGGCTACTCCGGATAGAGAGCACTGGTTAAAAGCAATGA